TGGGGTTGCTGGATCATATGGTAGTTATCTTCTTAATTTGTAATACATTTCGTCTCTCACTCTGGCCATGTCTAAGCTTCTCCCTTGATAGAGGTAGAAAGTTCCAGAGAGGCCCAGGCAGGGCCAGCAGTGAGAAGGCCTGAGCCTTCTTACCAGGGTATTTCTCTCCCATGGGCTGCCTCTCACTAACTGCACAGCTGAATCCCATGTCCCTTCCCAGGGCTGCTGTGCATCACACACTCACACCCACAACTCACTCCGTGTGTGCGGGGTCGAAGAGTGATCCTGTATCTACATCCATCCAGAACCTCAGAGTGTGACCCTACTTGGAAATAGGGTCTTTGCAGGTGTAACTCATTAAGACAAGGTCATATTCTTCATATTGGATGGTCATAGTACATCAATGCCTGGTGTTCTTAGGAAAGGAGAAAACAGCAGGGCCAGGTAGCTCACACCTGCAATCCCAGCAACTTGGGAGGCTGAGGTGGGAGGCTTGCTTGAGGCCAGGTGTGCGAGACCAGTCGGGGCAACATAGCAAGACACCATCTCTAAAACAATTTTAAAAATTAAAAAATTGGCTGGTGGCACATGCGTATAATCCCAGCTACTGGGGAGGCTGAAGCAGGAGGATTGCTGGAGGCCAACTGGAGCTGCAATGAGTCATGATCACACCGCTGCCCTTCAGCCTGGGCCGCAGAGCAAGACTGTGTCTCTATAAATAAATAAATAAATAAATAAATAAATAAATAAATAAATGTTTTAAAAAGAGAGCTAGGGTCTGTCTCTTCTCTTTCTCTCTCTCTCTCTCTCTCACACACACACACACACACACACACACACACACAGGAGGGGATGTGGTGTGGAGACAGAGGCAGAGATTGGAGTGACGCAGCCACTCCAAAGAGTGCCAAGGATTGCAGGCAACCACCAGATTCAGGAGGAGGCAAGGAAGGACCCGCCCTGCAGGTTTCAGAGGGACTGTGACCCTGCCGCCACCTTGATCTTGCACTTGGAGCCTCCACAGCTGAGACAGAGTAAATGTCTGTTGTTGTTAGCCACTCAGTTGGTGGGCATTTGTTACTGCAGTCCTGGGAAACCAATGAGCCGTCCACTCACTCATACACAGCCTACTTATATTTACTGGTGCTTTCTGCTAACTCTTCTTTCCATCTACTTATTTCTTCCTTCCAGAGCTCCCTCACCTCCCTCAAGAGGGGCTCTGTGGCCAGGAAACTTTTAATGAGGTCTGGAAAAAGTGTTACTTGCACATTAAATCCATTATTTTGTGAATATTATTGCTTAAGACAAGCTGAAGTTTAAAAATGAGTGATTTCAAGTTGATCGGAAGAAAAATACGAAGTCAATGGGGTGCATGGTGACACATGAGTTGCTGAAATTTGGGAAACACTGGAATGGAAGACACAGCATTGATTCAGGGTCTGTAATCCTGGGTCCAAATTCTGCTTTCCCTACTGGCGCTGGGACACACAGGCATTGTTGAAGTGCTGGACCCCAGATTTCTCTTCTGTAAAATGGAATCACAGGGTCTAAATTGGAGGCTTTCTCTGAAGGATGAGAACAAAGGTAGACTGAGAATGTTCCTATCATGGTGCCCGGCGTGAGCAGATTCTCAGCAGATGGGTCCTGCTGCAATCCACTGAGGGCTCTCCTGCAGTACCAGCAGGGATCCTAGTCATTGTCCCCACCACTCCTGTCTGTCTTCATCCAGAACCTTGTCTGGATCCTGGGAGGAAGCAAACATCTCCTGGTGGGAATGTGAGGCCCTGCCAGGTTGCAGGAGCAACTGGAAAAGGGCAGGTGTCCCTGCCCACTTTGTGGGCACCTCATGATAAATGATGGCTCTCATTAGCCCTAACTCCTCGGGTACCTTCCTACCTGGCGCCATTATGCTGGGGCTACCCTCTCACTCTGGGAGCTTCACGATAAACCTGTCTTGGCTTATCCTGGACGCCTGTCAGCTCCTGGCAGAGTGCAGGCTGCAGGGATACCTTTTGCATCATGAGATTGTGCAACTTGGGAGGCTGAGGTGGGAGGCTTGCTTGAGGCCAGGAGTGTCCTGGCAAGTTCTGGCAAGTTCACGGAAAGTTCTGGCAAGTAGGCAGGCCAGCCTCTTGCTCAGATGGTGCTAAAAGGATTCTTCTTCACCATCTACCAGTAAGGAAAGTGGTCATCTTGTTCAGAGGATGGAGTGCGGCATCCACACAGCCACCAGCATGAACTTGGTGAGTGGAGGCCACCTGCATTCCAGAGCCACAGGGTCCCTGGAGCTATTGGCTTCTTGCCTGAATGCTTCCAGGTTTCCCAGTTTCTGGAAGCCCTGGTTGCAGTGTGCCCTTGTGTGGCACCCAGCACGTCTGGAAGGGCAGCCCGTGGGTGTGAGTCTTGGAGAGTGAACATCCCTATAAGGACTGACTCGTGACCCTGACTTTATCACCAACGGGCCTCTGCAGAGACAGGTCCTCAAATCAAAAGCCAGGCAAACCTGCATAGAGAGCGGCTCTGGGGTACACTGGAAGGAGTGGACGATGGTCAACTGTCCCCACTCATTTCATGAGGATTCTCCACCTCCCACAGCCCCTGGCATGGGGAGTGCAATGTAACACAAAAAAGAGAAGGCAGTGAGCAGGACCCACTCTTCCTGCAGCTTCTGCACACTCTTCCTGCAGCCCCAGCTGGGCCACCTGCACCAGTCTCTATGCATCTGGGGTTGGGGTAGGTGGTTTATGGAGAGCCTGCTCCTCCATGAGGCCCGTATCAGCTATTTTTCCACGGCATCAGCATGAGAGGTTTCTGGTTTTATGTATGTATTTTCTGGCTCTGGCTCCTGGTCTGCATTTGTATGCACAAGAAGGCATAAGAGAGTTAGAGCACTGGGTTTCCAGAGACATGTGTCTGGCAGCATTCAGGAAAATAACATGATAGCCTAGGAATCCCATCACACACATGTGCACACATGCCCGCACGCAGGATCATGGTATGTTGGCAGGAGTGCGGTTCATGCCCATGAAGGAAATGGAAAACACTTGTTGGAGAGAAAACCCAGCCGCTGGCATACTATTCCCATCACAGGAGAGGCAGAGCCTATGATTGGTGCCTCACTGAATCACAGGATGTGTTTTATTTTATCCTCACATTATGATGGAGGGCCATGGCTGCTGGCTATGTCTATTTCTTGTGCACAATATAGACCACAAGAGAGAATAAAACAATCTCAAAACTACAATGTGGAAAAAACCTGCCAGCTAGAAAGGTGGAGAAGCTATCTCCAGGAGCCAAGAAAATCTCTTCAAGAAAAAATAAAAAAAGTAACCCACTTTACTTTTTCTCCAAACTGACAAATTTGACTTGTCAGATGTAAGTTCAACTTGTGGACAATCCACTCAAGACTGATAATTGCCATAGTAACTGCTGTGTCACATGATCACACAGAAGCCTCGGGACGGGGAGAGCGGCTTTCCAGGCCACTTTTCTTCTGGTAAATTATGTGATGTCAGCCTAATTAGCAGGAATGGAATCAGGACCTTGGTTGAAGTAATTGGCAGCCATTCTTTAAAAAGAACAAAGGTATTTTAGCACCTTCTCTTCCTATTTATGGGGCCCGTGCCAGGACCAGCAGGGCTCTGGTGTGGAGTCTCCCTCACCCTTCTTCCTAATTGGCCAAGCTCCAAGCAGTGCCTCTAAGTTGTGGTTCTTTGTAGAACCATGTCTGGAGAAAAACTCGAATTCATCCCCTGAAGTTTTCAAAATATCAGAAACTTATGAGAGAGGGGGCCAGGAATACATTTCAGAGCTATCCCAATTCTTCTTTTTAATTAGTATTGTAAATTTCAACTTCTTTCATTTCCAGCTGCTTCTCCCTGCAAAATAAAAGTATCATGTCTTTAAAGCTCTCTGTCCATGACAATGTTTTGTTCGTATACTAGACAATGCCATTCCCTTCCCAAGGCACATCTCTTTTAGTTGGGTTTAATTTGAGATGCCTCTTGCCTGCTAAAAATGTTGGTGACTTGCCCCAGCAAGGAGGTGACAGGGCCACTTGTCCACGTTGGTCCCCTCCAGTGGGGCTGAGTGGTCACCACCTCCAATGGCTGCGTTTCACAGGAAGAGAACTGCCTTCTTCACCGCCGGGCATCAGCCTGTGGAAATCTGTGCCCAGACAGCTCAGGTGGCAGCTTATCCAAGTCCCCAGCACCCAGCTTTGTCTGCCCCAGGACAATTGCCCCATTGTCTTCAGGCTAATGAGGTTTCTGGTCAAAACAATGATTTCAAACATCTCTTGAGCCTCTCTGCCCTCCATCTGGAACAGACAAGTACATCAATCCCTTCAAACCTGCCTCCTGCAAGTGCATTCGGTAGAGTTAGTGCATAGGGGTGCATTTTAATCAACCATGTTGGCCAGTGCTACCTACCTGGAGTGAGCCCAACCCCCAACTAAACTGTGAGCTGTGGAAATGAACACATGCCAGCCAAGTGAGGAGCAAAGGCTATTGATTCAGAACTTGTGCTAGTGACGGAGTTGGCCACCATCCCTTGTGTTTTGGCAGAAACTCAGAGGGAAGCAGGGGAGTGGGAAAACCTCAAAGAGGAAAGAAAGGAAGGCTTCGGGTGTGCCCTGAGTGGAGGGTGTTTGCCTGGGGAAAATGAAGGTGGCTACAAGAAATGGGACCTCCCGTGTGATTGATTAGGGAGCATGTTTGACTTTCTTCCATTGGTCCTAAGTTGGAAGTGGTGACAAAAACCTAGGGAATCAGGCCAGGCGTGGTGGCTCACGCCTGTAATCCCAGCACTTTGAGGGGCTAAGGTGGGCAGATCACTTGAGGTCAGGAGTTTGAGACCAGCCTGGCCAACATGGTGAAACCCCGTCTCTACTAAATATACAAAAAATTAGCCAGGCATGGTGGTGCGCACTTATAATCCCAGCTACTCGGGAGACTGAGGTGGCAGAGTCGCTGGAACCTGGGAGGCGGAGCTTGCAGTGAGCTGAGATTGAGCCACTGCACTCCAGCCTGGGGGACAGAGGGAGACTCCATCTCAAAACAAAAACAAAACAAAACAAAAGTACCTAGGGAATCAATCAGTTATTAATCGAGTCCTAGAATTTTGGGTCTGATTGCTATAGGAGCTGTTGTTTGGCTTCTGGGCTGATTCCTACAGACTGTGGGTCAGAGTTCTGTCTTTCTACATGGTCTTGACATTGTCTGTCTGTATGTTGACTCTCTCATTGTGTACAGGCTGTCTTCTCCCAGTATGCTTAAAATTAATAAGAGTTTGAACAGACAAGTATGCGGAGGGAACATCATCATTTGTACAAATAGCCTCAGATGGAAATTCTGCATGCCTTTGAAAGAAAGTTTGAGAGGTAGACCTCAACAGCTTCGTCGGCCCAGCTGAAGTCTCTCTCCCTGAAGGCACATGCACCTTTCTCAGGCATTGCTGGGAATGCAGGATTGTGTGCTGGAGGCCAACATTGGGTATCCTGAGTGGAAACCATGAACTGGGGCAAATCCTCTTGGTACACACACACCTAGCTTCGTTTCCCTTCCTTTTCTGCCCTATCCCAGGGAGCCCTCTTTGCACCAGCCCACCCACTGACCAAACTTCAGGGTCTTGTCTTCATACTTACTGCTTTTTTCTAAGGGAAAAGTTATGGAGAAGGCAGTCAAGGTTCATTTATTTTTCACCAGGAGACAATGCCCCCAAACAAGAACTGAGTCCCTAGTTATGGAATGTCAGACACCTTGCAGCAGGTGGTGGTTCTGAAACACCCGGATCCAGATGGCAGCCAACTCCACCCACATGTCAGGCGGGTGACTGCATTTCCAGACATATTCCTTGTTTAGATGAGGAGATTCTGCCCCCACTAACATTCCTTCAAGTAGCAAAATGATGCTAGATCTTTCCAGAGGTCACAGACTGAAGGCTTGGGGGCTACAGTCTGGAATGTGTTTTGCTTGGCACACATGCATTTTAAGTTGTTTAATGAACTATCAAGATGTAAAGATCAGGAGCTGACCTTTCACGTTAAAAAGAAAATCTATATTTTCCAACTAGTCTTGGAAAATGGGATGCTCTGGCAGCACTTGGACATCTTCCCACCTGCAGATGCTCAGCAGAATGGCAGCTGCCCTGCGGAGAGGAAGCACCTGTTCCCTTCCTTACCACTCTCCTCGTCTGGCCTGCAGTTTCCTCCTGTGTGTCACAGTTATGGACTGATTGCTTGTGTCCTGCCAAATTCATATGTAGAAATCCTAACCCCCAAGGTGATCATATTAGGAGATGAGGCCTTTGGGAGGTTATGAGGTCACAAGGGTGGGGCCCTCATGACTGGGATTAGCACCCTTATGAAAGAGACCCCAGAGAGCTCTCTCATTCTCTTTCCACCATGCAAGAAAATGAGACGTTGAAGTCTTCAACCTGGAAGAGGGTCCCTGCCAGAACCTGGCCATGCTGGGACCTGATCTTGAACTTTGAGAACTGTGAGAAGTAAATTTCAGTTGTTTACAAGTCATCCCATCAATGGTATTCCACTATGGCAGTCCAAACTGACTAGGCCACTCACCTTCTTGACCCAGTGGGCATTTGATCCAGAATAACTCATTACTGTCTGAGGAAAGCCCCACCATCTCTTTTCCCAGAAGTTTTTGTTTCTGGTGGCTTCATGGGGGGATTCCAGGCACAGTAGGGCCAAGCGATGGGTATAGAGCGACCCTACACCTTTGACTTGGCCTCCTGGGGACTTAGATGGATAGGTGTGTTTCCTAGGAGCCGTCTTCCCTGTCCTCACCCCTTTTCCCATGAGAAATGCCTCCTCTTGCCTCAGAAACAAAGGAAGGGGTCAGTTTCTGCCAATGTCTGCTCAGCCCAGAGCAAATGTCTGAGAGATTCAGTGTGAATGTGCTGGTTGCCTGCTGCAGATCAGGCTTGGTAGGTGGTGGTAGGTGGTTAAGGTTGAGTTTCAGCATCAAGTATGAGTTATTACTGCTCAGGGTCTCAGTTTTCTCATCTGTAAAATGGGAAGATTCCTAGCTCTCAAATTTATAAGGCTCCACTGGCCATGTGTAAAATGTGGCAATTAGGGAATACTGTTGGCTGCTAACTATATTCACCAGGACAGGCTGGTTATGCTCTGGTAAAAAATAAACCCAGACTCAGTGTCTGCACCCAGCACACATTTATCTCTTGCGCATGCTATACGGCCATCTTGACTCAGCAAGGTTCTATTCTCTGTCACTTTACTTAGGAGTGTTGGATGGAAGAATCCCCCACAGTAGTGCTGTCAGTCTCTATGGCAGGGGAAAGGGGACATGGTGTATCCAGCCTTGGGCTTGAAGGTCTATTCCCAGAAGAGACATCATTACCGCAACTCACATTTCATCGGCCAAAGTGAGTCACAAGCCAAGTTTAACTTCAAGGAGTGTGGCCCCAAGCCTCTGATTCTAAGTGCCACTGTCTTAAGGCATTTGAGCTCCTGTAACAAAATACTGTGAGCTGGGTGACTTATAAACAAGAGAAATTATTTCTCCCAGTTCTGGAGGCTGGAAAGTCTAAGACCAAGGTACTGGTAAATTTGGTGTCTAATGAGAACCTATTTCATGGTTTATAGATGGTGCCTTCTTGCTGTATCGTTACGTGGTGGAAGGGGCAGACAGACTCTCTGAGGCCTCTTTTATAAGGGCACTGATCCCATTAATGACAGCTCTGCCTTTATGACTTAATCACCTTCCAGGGGCCCCACCTCCTAATGCCCTCACTGGGGGCTAGGTTTCTCCATATGAAGTCTGGGGGGACACAAATGTTCAGACCATGGCAGCACTCTCTTCCCTCACAGCATGGCTGGCTCTCCAACTACAATACCATGCCCCATGGCTCACTTCCAGGGAGACTGTCTGGAGAGGTTTGTCCTAAGAGATAGAAGAATGCATCCCGCCTCAAGTTTTAGTTCCACAGGTTCACCCAACAGGGAGGTAATAGTTACACATTCTTAATGAAAAGACCCAAAAGCCCAAAACATCCTGTGCTGCAGCATATAAAGCATCTTCTTCAGACCTGGTCCAAGACTACTCTGGGATTTTTGAGTCAGAAGAGAGCCAGAGCCTATTCAGCATACTGTTTGACTCTGGTCCCAGCAGCCACCGCCATGTTAACAGGATGAGCAGGGCTTCCTTCAACTCAGGGTTCCCATGAAATTAAAAAGAATTCTCACCTTGACTTGGGATTGGGATTGTTGAACACTACCGATACTTCTTCCAAGGTCTCACAAGAGTTTGCCTCCTCTCATCGCAATGTGAAGACCTCTGTGGGGGAACAATTCATGGGTTCTTGGGGTCTTATAGGGGATGACAGAGAAGTGTCACCCCCACCCAACAGCCTGACTCAGTCTACTCCTCAGGAGGAACAGAAAGTGGTCTCTCTAGTGCCATGAAACCCCCAAAAGTGTCAACCAGTATTAAAGGCCTGCCTGATATACAACCCTCGAATGCAACACAGTGTCCTTCTGAGGCCACTCTAAAGAAGGCCAGGAAAGGTTTGCTAAGAAGGCAGTGCTGTTAAAAACAGAAAAAAAAGACCCTTACCCCATTGCTCTGTGCCTGGTGGCTACAGGGACATTATTTCACAAAAAAAGAAAGGGAAAAATAATTTTCAAAAATGATTTAAGAAATGCTGTCAAAGATAGCAAAGAACAAAGAACAGAGCCCTCAAAGAACAGGGCCCAGGACAGGATAAGCACTCAATAACGTACAACACTGTAGTGCTGTTGAGTGCTAGCTGTTGTTGAATGCTAGCTGTTGTTGAGTGCTAGCTGTTGTCGAGTGCTTGTTGCTGAGTGCTAGCTGTTGTTGAGTGCTTGTTGTTGAGTGCTAGCTGTTGTTGAGTGCTTGTTGTTGAGTGCGAGCTGTTGTTGAGTGCTTGTTGTTGCGTGCTACCTGTTGTTGAGTGCTTGTCCTGCCTGGGCCCTGTTCTTAGCCTTTGAGGTACATTTCTCCATTCAACTTCCACAATAGCCCTGTTAGGCAGCTAGTATTATTTCTGTTTTACAGATAAAGTTTGGTTTTAGCTCAGAGTGGTTCTGAATCTTATAAAAAGAAAAAAACATCCCCAGGAACTGAATCAGCTCCAAAATAGCTCCATCTTAGGCTAAATATGGGATGTGACAAAGCCACCATCAAGCTAGGCCCCCCTGTCCTGACAGCTTCCCACCCCTTCCCTGCCCCTCTCACCCTGCTTTCCAGGGAGGGGTGGGCATCCTCTCAGTACCATAATCTGTGCCAGGCTCTCATATGATGACTTGACAGGATTCAGCAGAGATGCAGGCCTCTGCTCTGCTCATCTCTTTGCATATAGTAATTTAATGAAGCCAGAAACTGCATAGAGCTAGTAATGGCACAACCAAGCAGCTTAAACTTTGAGCCACTAAACCATGCTGCCTCCTATTGTAATACGATTATATTATAACACAAGTTCGAGAGACCACCCACTGCTTTCTTTATTGGATCCTTCCAATAAAGTGCCGTGCTAGTAGCACAATTCCCCACGGACATAGAAAATAACTATTCTAAACTAAATCCGAGGACACACCCAGCCACAAAGTGGGAGGTGTATTGTACAAATGCAACCAGGGCCCCTGGATCTGGCAGCTAGACCCACAGCAACAGCCTGTGTTTTCTCAGGGCTAAGAATGCACGGCTCCGACACGGAGAGCCTCTGAGCTGCCACAAACTCTTCAACACCTCCCTATTAAAAGCCATTCTGACCACCCTTGGTGTTGAGTTTTCCTCGGAGAGCAGTTGAGAGCTAAGGTAGGGTGGAGAGCCAAGAGGAGGCAGGGAGAGCCAGAGATGGCAGCTGGCAACAGGATACAGAAAGAAAAGGGACTTCAAAGACAGATCTAAGAATTCACAGGGCTTTTTGGTGCAGAGTCTGGAGATGATGCACAGAAATGACACCTTGAAAGGGGAAGGAAAAGAAGGAAGAACAGGTTATCAGCCCTGGAGCTCAGAAGGCTAAAGGAGAGAATGTATTTGACATCTATTGTATCTTTGCATCCTTCAATGACACATTTGTCCATGTCACTGATCTTTCTGGCAAAAAAAAAAAAATGTGCTGTGTGACTGGTGGGATGAAGGTAAAGGCTGGTCAGATGAATCCTCTCCACATGCTGCCACACTGGCCACCCAGGATGTGGTCTATGTGGTCTAGAGGTGCAAGGAGCCAGGCATCACTGCCCTACATCAAACTCCAGGCCACAGAAGGAAATAGGACTGAGATCCCTGGACCTGGAGCCCGCTTAGGTATGAAGATCAGGTGCATTGAGGATGTCATTCCCATCCCCTCCAACAGCACCTGCAGGAACGGGGGTTGCCAGGTCACCATCTGTGAACAAGACTCCTCAAAATGTTTTCTGTTAATAAATTGCCTTCATGTAAACTAAAAAAAAAAAAAAAAAAAAAAAAGAAAGAGAGAGAGAGAGATAATTGACACAAAATGACGCCCAGTCTTGGTCTGCATGGTGAAGGGCCCAGGACTGATGGGCGGGGGCTCATTTGCATAATGCAACACCAGGGAGAGTCCTGTCACTTGCCCTCCTGAGTCCTGAAGAAAACCCTTCACTCCAATTCCCTGTGCATTGCTTCTAAAGACAGAAAATGTGTACAGTTCTAGAATTACGGTCACATAAAATGCTAGAAGAATAATGTGTTTTATTTAAGTGCTTGGAGGTACCCCCTGAAGTTTGTGTTACCTGGAAGTTGGCCTTAGGGAAACACCTCATGGACCTTCTCTCAAGGATAAATGAGATGCAGGGACAAGGAAGGGAGAAAGGTTATTTTAACATTTTATTCACAGTCCCTGGGATTCTTTGGAGAGCACCTTAGGAATGTTCTTAACCTGAGTCCTCTTACTAAGTGTAATCACACAGTCCGCCAGGCTGGTATTATTAACCCTACTTTGCAGCTGAGGCAACTACAAGAGATGACCTTTCCGGGCTGGTGGAGTGGAATTCGTCACGTACTGCATGCAGTCATGTACTGCAGTGACCAGTCTGGGTCCAATTTCTTTGACGGTATCATTGACGGGGTACACAGTGGGGTAACAGGGGAGAGGCAAAGTGCAAGAGGAGAAATGGGGTGAAAATCCAGTACAGGGAAGCTTGAGCTGGGGCAGGATCGGGGAGCCAGGGTCTGGGGCATGGTTGGGACTGAAATCCTTGTTAACACTGGCTTTAGCAAAAGAAATGGGCACCACCATCCCAGAGGACTTCCAGAAGATTCCTCCCTCCCCCACAGCTGGGCACAGAGCCTTACCTCCCCTGCACCCTGGCCCTGTCTCCCTATTTGGCAAGACTCCCATGTCATCTGCTCCTCTCGACTTCAGCTCCCTCTTGGCACTGGAAATACTAAGGGAACCCAGCAGTCACACAGGATTCTAGGAATTTCTCCTTTCCAACTTCCTGAACTGGTTTTCAAATTCACCTCAGAGGTCCCTTTAAAAATCATGTTCCAAGTCTGGGCACAGGGGCTCATGCCTGTAATCCCAGCACTTTGGGAGGTCGAGGCAGGAGGACCTCCTGAGCCCAGGAATTCAAGACCAGCCTGGGCAACAGAGTGAGATCGTGTCTCTACAAAATATAAAAGAATTATGCTGGTGTGGTGGTGTGTGCCACTGCACTCCAGCCTGGATGACAATAAAAGACCTACTTCAAAAAACCCACACTCCACACAAGCAGGGGGTCTGCCATCCACAGATTCCAGACAGAGGGTTCCATCAGCCAGGCAGGAACGGCATGGGCAATGTCAGTAGCATGCACATCAGGTTAGCTTCTCTGAGGTCACAAAGTCACCTGGAAGTGGGGAATCCATGAGGGCCAGGCCCTCCACAGGAGGAGACCTTCCCTCCTCAGGCACCAGCCTCCCTGACATGGTTCCCTCCTCTCAGCCCTGGCCCACATGCTCCTGCCGAGGTAACATGTCCCCTGACTCCATGTTAGAAAACCATAAAGCCCCCAAGAGACATTTCTAACAATCATCTAAATATTGACTTTCACTTTATAAAACTTATAAAACACAAAGAACACTTGGAACAGCCCAGTTTTAAGGCCGCCAACTTTTGTTTTCCAAAGAACAATTGGTAGACTTGGCCCCAAGGGGAGCAGAGCCCCGGCTCTCAGACAAGGAGCCTCACCAGCAATTCTGTATCTTCGAGGCGGCAGAGGTTTTGGTGAGCTTGTGTCCTTTCTAAACATGGTGGTGAAGATGGGATCCTCTTCATTTTGCAAATGAGAAAATGGAAGAGCCCGAGGGACAAAGGGCCTCTCTCAAGGTGCCATGGTGAGAAGGAGGCAGAAGGAAGAGGACCTCACCCTTGCCTTGATTCCACTGACTGCTGTTTATTGCGCCACGAGTGTCTTCAGGGAGCAGTCGTTCCCACACTGGAATGTTGACATGAGGAGCAAATGTGATGCCATCATGTAATTCCAGTGGGGGCTGGAATTTTCAGCCTGCAAGGCTGAAATGACCCTCTCTGTTTCAATGCTAAGGAAGCAGCAGCTTTCCTCCCACTCTTGAAATGTGCAGCATCTTCAAGTTCCTGCCTCGCGTTTCTAGGCCTGTAGTGGGCTGTCCATGGTCAGGGAGTGGATCTTCCAGTTAGGTATTTTTCTGAAGCAACTGTCATTCTTTGCTTTTTGGAGCAAGACAGGTTTTTAAAATCCTCTGGGAGAGCAGGAGGAGGGTTGGCCAGAAAAGGCATGAAGAGTGGGAGAAGGGTGCATTGTGGACCCGTCTGAGCGTAGGAGTGTCCCGATAACCAGGAGACTAAGGAGCAGCATCCGCTGTCCCCCTCAGTGTTCTAAAGGTATGAAACCTAACAAGGTAATTGCATGGGAATAACACACTGTGAATGTTATGTGGGATTTGAAATTGTCATCTCAAGAGTGACCGGGGGGAGAGAGGAAGGGTGAACTCTTTCAGTCTAAAAGCTACGTTTTAAAAGGCAGGGTTAGACTCGGTTTGTTTTCTGCAATGCATTTCCTCTGCAAAAAGGGATTTTTTTTTCCTACTTTTTCTGCTGGTGGACATTTCCCTTGGGGGAGCCTGGCCAATGAAAGGTCACTCAGAGATCAGTCACTCTCAGGGATGCCAGGAGAGCGGGGCAGACACATGTCCTAGTTTTCCCGGGAGCAGACTGAGTGAACCATAGGAGGGTCTGTCTGATGTTTATCTTGGCAGAATTCTCAAATGAGTTAGCAAATAGTGGCTGGAGATAAACTGAAACTTTGAGCAACCTCTGGACTGACTCTGATCATCCTCCACACCGCACCTGCGCAGGGAGGAGAGACCAGAAAGCCAGTAGCAAACAGTACACTTTTCCAAGAATCAGAGAGGAAGGAGTTCCTGACACCCCGCAGCAAAAACAACCTCAAAATTCCCCTGAATACAGACCCATGGGAGCTGGGGTCAAGGTGGCCTTGCACTTCACCGAGGAGGTGTCATTACCAAACGTGCTGGACATTGGCTACCTATGGAAGAAAGATTAAGGACTGAAAGAAAATAGTGGAGAACATGCTTATGCCATGGAGGTAGGAAAGGGAAGACCCTGAGCAAGACACAAATCACAAAAGCAAATAGAGAAAGAGTGATGTCTACCTTCAACAAAATGTGAGACTTCGGATTCAAAATCAGAAACCTCTATAAGCTGAGATAAAAGACAAGCAACAGAGTTGGAGAAGATATTTCTAAGATATTTGTATGTGTGCATATGTATATGTATGTGTGTAATGTGCTTATACATATACATATAGATAAATGCATACGTATACACATGAATTCTGGATTGTTAGCTAGGCTCTATGAAGATCTCCTATCTATTAATAAGAAAAAAGACCAAGATCAACAACCTCATAGACAAATCGATAAAGAAGATGACCGGCTAGTCCACAGAAAAGAAAATGCAAATGGGAGTGGGAGGGCCCAGAGGAACTCTCGCTTTATCTAAATGGCTTTCTGCAGTGTATTTCCTCTGCAAAAAGGGATTTTATCTAAAGTGTGTTGATTACGAGAGCATACGCTTATATTAATTTTTTAAGTAAAAAAAGAGAAAAAGTACCTGAAGATTAAACGCAAGCCATGTGATGTGTTAGTTTGCCAACACACAGGAAGGGAGCTCTGAGCTGTAAAATATGAGCCCTTTTGTGTGAAGCTGAGCAGGTGAGGAGAAGTTTCAACAGTCCTAGAGAAGAGGACGGCAGGGGACAGAGAGCCAGGGGACAGGGCAGGGAGGATCTAGGAGGGCACCCGGCCAAGCGGCTCACTGTAGCTGGTGTAGGGCTTAGCTATACCCTGGGGCTGGGCGCTTAGCACAGTGTGCTCAGATGAAGGTGGCAGGGACTCTCCATTTGAGTCAAAGTGACAAGCAGTGCCCCAAGTCCCTGGGAAGGATGAAATCCAAATTTAATTCCCTTCTGAACAACATTCTACAATCTGTGCTTCATTTAGATATCTGTAAGCCTAAAAGAGCTGAAAAAAACATTTTATTTCCCCTTCCAATGTACAATTTCTAAGACATTTGAATTATCGACGTTGAAGTTTCATTGAGAATGGGCTGAGTGTCCTGTTTTCAGCCTGAAAACAAAGCCTCAGCCACAGTCTTCATCTCACCCTCTTTTTGTTTATTTTCTTTTAAAAAATGTCCCCCATTTCTTTGTTCTTTAACAAAGAGTTGTGTGCATCTTCTGAGCTCCAAGTGCTGCACTGCCTTCCAGGAGACAATGGCAACCCAGGCCCTGACCTCATGGCGCGATCGAAGGGAGGGTCTCGGCCAGGAATGTGAGGGACACCAGAAAGAGGACATCGGTGGGCAATGGGGTCTTCCTTGCACGGGGCGGGTGGGCGTGTGTGGTGTGCTTTCCTAGCAGCCCACAGCCGCTGGCAGGGGCCACCGCGGGCAGACCGGTGGTCCAAATTTATGCCGGCAAAAAGCAAATGCTGATGCCTTCCCAATCATGGTTCCTTCAAAGGCTTCAGGGTTTCTTGGGAAGGGAAAAGAACATTAGTTGAGCTGCGATGTGCTAGGACTGTGCTAGGAAGTTTTACGGATGCTGGTTCATTTAGATTGGATATGCCTCCTGCAACAGTGCGCTGTCCCTTATGGAAAATCGAAACAGTCATTGCATTTCCGTAGTGTTCACAAGGAGCCTCACTTCTGGGCTCGGGCAGGCTGAGGAGTTCCAGAGTTGAGGATCAGACTTGGTGACTGAGCAGGAACTGTCATCTTTTTTCTCTTTTGAGATATGAAATTTGCTCCACATCTCAGAAGAGTGTGTGCCTCCATCCCACACTTGGGACAAGCGCTATTGTTCTTTTTTTTAAATTTGTAGAACATATTAAACGTTCTGCTTTCGTCACGGGTTAAATCACGCTGGGGCAGCAGGCTTGTGGTGTAAGAGCGGTGCTCTGTGCGTCCGCTAGGGCTCCCCTGTCGTTCCAGTTGGTTTCCTTGCCACGCCCCAGCTCGCTGCCCCCAGGCTATCTTGGAGAGACACGTTTGTGTTTTGTAATAGAGCATGTCACGCACTATTATATGGAGATATTTTATAAAGGAGCCCACATGACACAAGGAAACCAGGAGAAAACGGTCCTAGAAATCCCCAAAGCTTGGAAGCAGGGACATGCAAGCGAGGTACAGCGTGTGCTATCAACTGGCAAGGTCCTTCCGGTCAGAAAGCCGCTGTTGTCATCAGTTTAGCCAGGTACTGGGATTAAGCACATCTACCACTTAGAAAATAATACAAATAAGAACCACGGGCCAAATCCAACATGGGTCTCCCACATTCTCTAAAATGTGGAAGTACGCAGATCTTACTATCTCTGTCCTTTCTCTCGCTTCGAGGAAGTTGGGCTCCTGGGCACTGTCTCCTCAATCACACCCAGTACCTGTGTACAGGTGCCTCCCCTTCTCTCTGGGGCATCGGGACTAGATGGATTGGGAACAGAACGGAGCTTTGATTGATCCTCTTGTCCGCACTTGTGCCTTTCTACTCCCTGTGGTGGAGGGTGTCAGTTTACTCTCCCTGTCTTCTCCTGGGGTCCCTCCAGCTCCTGAATCAAATCCTGCTCTTCCCCTGCATATTCTGAGTGGCCTGCACACTCTGGGCTCTCTCTCCTGGACCCCTGGAACACCACCTGTTTGGTTCTTAATAATCCAGAGCCTTCCCACCTGGTAGTAGCACTGACATCATCCTCTTTATCCACTGGAAGCTTCCAGATCCCGGCCCCCCAACTCATTCTCTCCCCACACGGCTTCTGCAGAAACACAACAACGTGTACTGCTTATACCATTCTTGCACCACTGTGTGCCAAATGGCTGGCCCAGAGGATGACTGAGTAGGAGGTCAATGTATGCTAAGGGAGGTGTCAGAGGAGAAAATTTCCAAGAGAGTGGGAACCCAAGGAAGGCTTCTCAGAGGAGCTGGGACACATTGGGGCCTGAAGGAAGTGGACATTTCGATGAGCATGAAGACTGCGGGGGGGATCCAATCTTTGGGTTTCACTGGGCCACACTGGAAGAAGAAGTGTCTTGAGCCACACATAGAATGCACTAACACTAATGATAGATGATGAACAACAAAAATCATCGCAAAAAGTCTCATAATGCTTTAAGAAAGTTTACGAATTTATGTTGGGCCACATTCAAAGCTGTCCTGGGCCACATGCAGCCTGCAGGCCGTGGGTTGGACAGGCTTGAGCTAAAGCAGGTGTATTCTGAGCTGGAGAGAAGGCCAGCCCCATGGTTCATCGTTCGTGGTATCACCAACCAGTGATATTTGGAACAGTTGGTGGGTGCAGGCCCTGGGAAGGGCAATAGTAAGAAAAAGCTTAGAAAAGAAAAGGAGGAGGAGGAGGGGAGTTGCAGATCATGGAGGGCCTTGAAAGTGAGACTGAGGGTTTGGACCTTACCACTTGGGCATACTACCAAACAGGAACCCCTGTCACTGTAAGTTCTGATGATTCCATCTTCCGTCTTTGGGAATAACAATGGCATAGTCAACTATTCCGCTACAAAAAGAGTCCTCAGGTTCTTTAACCATTTGGGGCATCTTGTTTTGGCATCCACACTAGTTCTGTTATAGCCAAAGCTGGGGGTGTTGGGGAATGTCACATGCTTCAGGGGTATCTGTGTAGTGTGCATTTTACCCCGCTGAGCTCACAACTTTAATGTGTAAAGGCGATCCTCCAGTTCAGGAGGACAGAGTTGGTGCCCCTGCCTGTACCATCCTAAGAGAGCTTTCTGCTTTCTGTGTCCCACTCTGTGGGTTCCCCGTGGACCCCTGTAGTATTTGCCTAATACTTTGGAACCAACAATAATAACTTATGAAATCTTTATTTCAAACACAGCTTGAATTTCATTCATTTTCATCTTACCCAAAGGGATAGATTCTCTAGTCCTCAATCTGGATGGTCAGAACAGAGAAATCCCCTTACCTCCAAACACAGGCCTTTTATTTTGTAACCACTGTCTGTCTGCTTTTCTGTTTTGGAGTCTCCCGGGGTGATGGTGCCGCCAGATAAAAGTTGTAATGAGAGAGGGAGAGTGGGAGGGAGAGTCCGGTGACAAGGCAGGGCAGAAGGTAAGCAGAGACCTTCTCCAATCAGAAGTCTTGAAGTCAGGGCACGCAGTAGGTCTGCAGAATGACTCAGAACCAGCCTATGAATGCTGTCTATTCATGGGTCCAGGCTTTTGTTAAAGTCTGGGCCTGCATTTTAAAGAGGGAGTCGGGGAACTGGCTGGACTGGTCTGACAACTAAGGAGTGGTGAACACTTCCCCCAGGCTAGTACTCAGGTGGATGAAGTCATCGATATTTTCTGGGCAGTCCTAATCCGTGATTAACTTTTATCTCTGCTGTGAAATAACAGCCTTCTTTTCAGCCTGCTAACAATAAGTTAACCTGGCTGTCCGGCTGGGGGATATTTTATGCTGGGCTCCAGCAGAGGCATATTTGAGAAGCCATGTGGGACTCCTGCCCTGGAGA